GTAAATTAAATACTAGGAAATTAATATAAAATAGGAAATATACAAATACAGTTTACTACAGAAAACTACAGTTCAGTTCAATTAACAACAGCAAAATAAAATGCTCCAAGAACTGGTAACTTAAACAAGGTTCGTACAGATACTGCAAAATGAAATTCCAGGACTTTCAAGGACTTTTCAAGTACTACTCTTTTGGTTTTCAAGGACTAAAATCAGATCTCACTTATCACTTATCAAAAAATATTGTTATTGTCTTTCAAATTCTAATATATAAACTAATAAAACATATGGTACAAATAAAGTGCAGCACATGCAAAGAATGCAATGACTGTGGCAACTTTAACATTTGAAAGGGTACTATGGCAAAGTTATCGCTTTCATTATTCAAACTGATTTTTTTTTTCATGAGTATATGGTTGACCTGAAGAATTAAAGCTAGGCTATATCATACACTTGGAATATTATGCGCTATATCACCACTTATCGACACTAGGGGTGTGACAACACACTTAGCTCACGAGATGAGACAAAATGCATATACTTATATTGGCTCAAATAAAGTATCAATTATAAAGTAACTGTTAAATAAATAATGTAATATGCCTATATTTTAACAAATACCTGCAGAGGGCACCAACGTCCTGGTGATGTTTCATGTGATTCAACGACGTTTAAATCCATTTAATTGCAATATTTGGCCATATGCAAAGTGAGAAACTTTTATTTTAATAAAATAAATCGCATATTTAGAAATATGTTGATGTATTCTGTGTTGGCATATGTTTATAAATGACTTAAGTTACAAATTAAGTGAGATAACGCACAGTTTTCCCAGATGAATGTTAAGCAACCCAAACTCACCGCATATGCAGAGGAAGAGTTTAGCCCCTTTCACACATACAGTCTTCACTGGTAAATTGCCGTTGTGGGTAATAGTGACTGAATGTGATTGATACTCAGAGATGGTAAAGGATTAAATTTCCAATCATTAGAGATAAGTAGACCAGTACCTCCACCTCTTCCAGTCAGACGGGGAGTGTGGGAACATGAGAAATTATTGGAGAGTGCTGCAGGTATAGCAGTGTCCTCTGGTTTGATCCAGGTTTGATCCAAGTAATGAAATCGGCTTTGTTTACAGCAGACTGGCAATTCCAGAGACCAACAGAAAAAGAAAGTAGTGTATTAATAGACATAGGCAAAGTGCGCAGGTTGTTAGGATTGTGCTGCCTACAGTGTGTGATGCATGGTTTGCGAGTGGTAGTGATAGTAGGGATCTGGAAACACATAGTAAGAATTGGTTATTAAAACTGAAAACAGAAGGGGAACAAGTAGTAGGAAAGAGAATGATTCAAAAGCGATACTTATGTCCCTTGCCGGTGTCCCTGCTCGGTGGAGTCGAACGGTAGAGTCAATGGTCTTTACACTCTTCGGTCTTCACACAACGGCTGCCGCGGTATACTAAGCTTTTTATATTCGTCTAACAAAACTCAAATTGAATTCAGCTGGACACACTTTCCTGTTTATCACAACAAATGGCCAAGCAAAGCGCACGACACTGACAAGGTACACGATACAGTACGAGACCAAACAGGGATCTGGAAACACATAGTAAGAATTGGTTATTAAAAGTTGAAAACAGAAGGGGAACAAGTAGTATTCAATTCAAGTTTATTTGTACAGCGCTTTTCACGATACAAATCATTGCAAAGCAACTTTACAGCAAATTAAGTTTCTACAATATTTAGTGGTAGCTTATCAGTGGTGACTGTCAGTTAATGTACATATGGCAGAAATGTACGGACAAATCAATTAAAGACGTAATCAATTAAAGATGTAATCAAACAGACGATGAACACTATTAACAGCAATTATTATATGATGCAATCAAACTTATAGCAAAATGTGGTAGTTCTGTATGTTGTTTCAGGGTTGGCATCATCTGAGGTCCTCTGAGGGGTTGGCATCATCTCTTCTCAGGTGTTCTGGATCCAGACTGAAGCTTGTGTAAATCCTAGTTACCACGGGATGTCAATCCCAGCAGAAACAGAGAAACAAATAGAGACATAATTAGCGTAGCTGCTGTTCCAACCAAGCAAAAATTATTTGTTCAACCCAATCTAAGGAATAATAATGTGCATTTGATCAGATTATAACTGCAGTACAAGATTATGATATGCATTATTTGAATGCTTGGCCAAAGAGATGTCTTTAATTTAGATTTAAACAGAGAGAGTGTGTCTGAACCCCGAACGTTATCAGGAAGGCTATTCCAGAGTTTGGGAGCCAAAGCTCTACCTCCTTTAGTGGACTTTGCTATCCTAGGTACTACCAAAAGTCCAGAGTTTTGTGACCTTAGGGAGCGTGATGGATTGTAGCGTGGTAGAAGACTAGTTAGGTACGCAGGAGCTAACCCATTAAGGGCCTTATAGGCAAGTAATAATATTTTGTAACTGATACGGAACTTAATAGGTATGAAATAGAATGAAATAGAACTTAATAATAGTATGAAAGAGAATGATTCAGAAGCGATACTTATGTCCCTTGTCTGTGTCCCTGCTCGGTGGAGTCGAACGGTAGAGTCGATGGTCTTTACACTCTTCGGTCTTCACGCGAGGGCTGCCGCGACCGCTGCCGCGGTATACTAAGCTTTTTATATTTGTCTAACAAAACTCAAATTGAATTCAGCTGGACACACTTTCCTGTTTATCACAACAAATGGCCAAGCAAAGCGCACGACACTGACAAGGTACGCGATACAGTACGAGACCAAACACTATTTCTGATAAGAAAATTATATGTATTTCAAATTCCATTTTTACAGAACAATTTGGAGTAGACATCACAGTTAGGTCACTTGCAGCTGCGTGTTCACTGTGGTGGCAGAAAAACACTGGTAACAAGTGGAGGGAAATGGGTCAAATTTATGGAATAAGAAAAAAAAAAGATTTTTGTGCCTTTGGATGTCAGAATCGGAATGCAAATCGTTTTTATATAATACTGTAGTCAAAGACGCCATTTGAAGCAAAACGCAGACGTTTAAACGGATAGACTGGATGAAAACTGCTTAAATTACTCTACTTTCAAAAGCATAAATTTGATTTAAACAATAGGTCTTAAACAATAGGTTCATTGGGGACATATTGTATTAGCCCTACAGTTACAGCACGAAATACTATTTAAACATATTACATTTTACATAACATTTACCTATTTTATCTCACAATTCTGACATTTTTTCTCACATATGCAAGTTTATATCTCCTATTTCGGACTTTATGACTCGATTTAACTCAACAATAGCGAGTTTGTCAATTCTGAGGAAAATAAAGCCAGAAGTCAGGGATATAAAGTCATGATTCTGAGCACAGGGGAAAAGAGAGAATGACAAGCTGTTTTTCCTTATCAGAATTGTGAGATTAAAGTCAGAATTTTGAAATATAAACTCAAGTTTACCTTTTTTATTCTTTTATTCCATGGCTCCCATAGACTGCTATGTGAAAACTGTCATTTTCTGCCACCACATAGGCCCTGCCCACAAAAAATCCTCACCACTGTTTGCAAACACCGAACTGGTCTACAGCAGTGGTTCTCATATTCAAACACACTTTTTTATAGCTTGATTTGTTCTATTTCAATGCATGTAGTCTTGAGGCCATCTGGTTGAGAATCATTGATCTAGATTTTTCAGATAGTCAGTCATTAAATTATCTTTATATGTTCTGTGTGTGATTTATCTTGAAGTATTAAAAGTGTTGGCTTAATAGCTTTAGAGCCAGGCCTAATGAAATTGTGTGTGTGTGTGTGTGTGTGTGTGTAGATGGGTATTGATTTGAGTAGCTAACCCGATCAGTGTCTTGCGTTGTCTCTGTTTCTCTCTGAGTGAAGATCATTCATGTGTGTTTGATGGTCGGGCTTCTGTATTTCTCTCTGAAGCTGCGCTCAAGCTGCTGACTTCAGCAAATAATGCATATGAATATGCTTCATGGAGTTCAGATGAACATCGCCGTGATTTATTTCATCTTTACTGAAGGAGAAGAGCGAGTAGCATCAGTGATTTCTTTCAGTGCTGAGCAAGAGCAAGAGCAAGAGATGGAGCAAAGTCACTGTTTTATTGTTTAGTTGAGATGTCCTCTTTCTCGAGGACATATCCAGGTTATATTTCACCCCAAAATCAAAATATTTCAATTTCCTGTTTTGCTTTTGACATTGACAATTAAAGAGGTTCACCCCCCAAAAAAAAAAAAATCAGTAATTTACTAGTTAGCACAAAATAAAATTTTCCGTACCATGATTTGCAATAATGACCAAAAACAAAAAAACATAAATAGCACCATTACAAACTTGTGCATTACATTCTGAAGTTGTATGATAGCTTTGTGTGACAATCTGACTGAAATTTGATTTATCCGTTGAAAATCAGTGAACTGTTAACATGAGAAGTCATCAAGTCAGTAAATTGGAAAACTGCTTTGTGAACAAATTTAGTCTGATTTTTTAACCAGAGTTCAGCTCTAGGGATGTCACGATAAAAAAAATAGCAATAATACATAAACATTAACTCTTTTATTTAAAATGACAAAAACACAACATTAGTGGCACTTGGCCTTCAAATAACGCACGCAAAACGCAGGTTTTGAGCCACAGCTCACTGGAGAGAAAGATTACCAGTGAATAACAACATCAGTTTTTGGTCTGTTAGTCACAAATGCATGCAAATGAGCAAAATGTGCTGGTCCTCTACAGTTACTGCTGCTTAATGTCTCTCTGTCTCTCTCTCTCAGGGGGTGAAACCTGCCAGTTATAATAAAGTGATGGATCCTGAGGTCAAAGAGATCATTGGCGAGTGTATTTGTCAGAATAAAGAGGAGCGGTGAGTATCGAGAGCCCAGAATAGGTCAGACAGAGCTGATCTGCACTAGCTCACCCTCATGAGTACAGTCTCCACATGATGCATGAAAATACACACACACCGAAGTGTTTCAAATGTTTATACTGATGCTTTCTGTTATCGAGTGCATTGCATTCAAAATCCATCTTGATGGCAGTGCATTATGGGTTTGTATGCATACATGTGATTCTGCTTTAGAGTTTAGCCAGAGAAGGTATGGTTTTTTGTTGTTGGTAAATAATGAATTCGAACAAATAATAGAAAAAGTATTTGTTAGACACAGTCACTCCTTGTTCTTGCTGGATCACAGGTGATCTGGGTGACAGCACAGTGTTCTAGATAAACAACTAAAAGTCCAGTGCAATAGTAGTGAGTGTATGAAGTGATGGAAACAAAGTCGCAAAAAGTGGTGGGAACTGTTGCCAAAGAATTTCACTAAAAACAATGTCTGTCCACTAAAGAACTTCATGTTAGGTACCATTTGTTTAATTAAATAGTATAATTTTGTCTATAATTAATATCATAAAATAATTTTGTCAATTATACAAGGCATATGCTATACTGTATGTTAACTATGGAAGGAACAGAATAACATTTTGAAATGGGATTTTCATGTAGTTCAGACAAATTTCCAGATTAATTCCCACCCACATTTGGTTTTATCTGAATGCAGACACGAATAATTTTGCCATTGATCATGACTTTGCTACATTATAGTGTTGACTGCATTCATCAAATTCAGCTGTTCAACCCTGTTACCAAACTTATTGTAAGAAAAAAGAAACACTTATTTTATGGGATAAAAAGTTTGTCTGTAAATACAGAAGATTTATTCCCAGAGTAGTTTGTCGCAGCTGAGTGACTGGTTAACTCTGTTACTCATTCTGCTTGTAATTCTGTGCATTTATCTTTCAAATGTGATCATTTCATGTTTACTTCTGGAAAATAAATCACACAAGTGTTGGAAAGGGTTTTAAAAGATTTAAATCGTAATCGCACATATCCCAAATGCGGTTAATAGGGTTTTTAAATTGCAAACAAGCTAAATACACTCATATAAAGCGCAGTAGTTTGACTGAGGCTGTTGTTCAGAATTTCCTGAAGGCTACGTGCATATCACCATTTGTGACCTGTGCTGGCAAAATGAGTCACAATGAGCAAATTTTACCTTCAAAATAATGCATGATTTGTCGGAATCGGACGAAAAATGACTGAGCTCCACCCGTTTGAAGTCGAGAGTCAGCAAACTCAATTCTGAGAAAAATCGAGTTAAAGTTTTCTGAAGGTTCCAAAGCGAATCAGCGAGCAACATTGCAACTTTTCCTCCACTTCCTTTCTTAAAAATACTATATTAATAATCACAATATAGCTATTTTTATTTTATCTTTGTTATTATAAATAAGAACCGATGCAAAAAAGCAGAAGAACAAATATAAGAAAGAAACAAATAATGCATTACCTTTTCCATTTTACATCTAAACAAAAGCATTCAAGTAAGAAAAACAAATAATCAAATGTAAAATCCCCTTAGTGTGTTCATTAAAAATAAATTGATTATTAAAACTACAAAAGCAGTGTCAACTGCAGCGAGTGATTCTTTTATGGTTAGATTAACATTAATGAGACAGATGGCCTATATAGTAAGTCCTACTGTAAAGCACATATCTAACATAATGTTACACATCAGACGTTTTTCCCCAGCAGTTCCCCAAACATTCGCTTAAGACATAACTGATTATGTTTGCATGAAAACTTAAATACTGTAATAATCCTATGTATATGTGTATATTTATCGGGATTGCGTGCTAAAGCGAGCAGAGAAAAGGTAGTCCCCTTAGAAAATTTACAAATAAAGATATTTTTAGATGTTTAATTACTATTTGAAACATTGGGATCGCTAGACGAGGGTTTAATGAACTAACGTTTGTGAAAACACAGAATTCGACTGAAATAAAAAATTTTCACCTTTTTTTTTGCCTGTAGCTCAAAATTAGACTGTGTGCATTCCCACTCGTTTTGGCTGCACAGCTCACAATTGCTGAAGAAGAAAACGTTTATTTGAACGTTGTGCCCTCTTGCGTCCAGTAACCGCTCCGCCGACGCTCTTCCCACAGTTACTCCATCAAGGACCTGCTGAATCACGCGTTCTTCGCGGAGGACACCGGCGTGAGGGTGGAGCTGGCGGAGGAGGATGACGGCTTGAAGACGTGCATCGCGCTGAAGCTGTGGGTGGAGGATCCCCGCAAGCTGAAGGGCAGGTACAGGGACGGAGGAGCCATCGAGTTCAGCTTCGACCTGGAGAAGGAGGTCCCTGAAGCCGTGGCGCAGGAGATGGTGCGTGATCGAGCGGTCTGATGCACACCAAGCAGTGCCTGCTAAAAGAGGAAAGAGAAATAATTAGCCTTTTTCACAAAAATCTGAAATTACGTCAGCACAGGGTAAAGTTAGTTACAGGTCTGCGCCTATTATATTAGTATGCCCTTTTCTCAAATAATGCTTCTTACCTTTTCTGTTTTGTCCGTTTTCCAAGTTGTTGTTATATAATCTCGTGAGATAATATGCTCAACATAGCACCGGATGGTTTCTATTCTCCACTCGGTCATTTCCCTCGAATCACCACATCATTTAAATTACTTAAAAATGACAACATTTAAGTCCAGATGCCCATTTTTCCAAGAATACATGAAACAATTCTAACCGAGTCCAATTGAAGCATATTAAACTCAACACAACAACGCAATCCGATTCAAGAAATGTGATCTGACATGTAGCTCATGTGTGGACAACAGTGGTTATAACAGGTTCACATGTCAGGATTTAGAGCCAGAACTGTTCATTTTAAAAATAACCTTTTAAATGAAGTAAACAGGATTTAACTGTGGTATGTGAACACCACAAAAACAAGTCTGATGTTGTCTTCCTGTTTCACTGATATCTTATCTATGAAGACTGATCTAGAGATATTTCCCGTCTCTGTTGTGAAACATAGCTGAAAGCTCTTTAATGGAATAATCTTCTGGCCAACATTGAATTATTCTGTTAGAGAGGTGGAGTCCATTAACAATCGTAACCTCTGACTGTGAGGACATCTTCCATTTCCCATTTCATTCGGCCGCTGCCTTGACCGCACTTGAGTCCTGTGTTTTTAGTCGCACTAGTTGAGACTTCATGAAAACCACCCTCGCTTTCTCGGGAACTCTGGATCACCTGCTTCAGTTCTTACCAAACCGGTTTTAAGGTTTTAATACAGGACACACAGGCAGTCAAAGCCGCTTGAGCGCATTATATATATTCAAACACTTGCGCTTAAGGACAGTATGTGACCTCCTGGACCCGGTTCAGATTGGAAAATCCTTTTGCTGTGATCACATGTTATGTAATCTGAGCATTGTAATGTGTGGGAACGTTTGCTAAAGGGAAAATGAGTCTTTTATACTGATCGCTGCAAACAGCCCAAAGGTTCCATTGTTTCACCCGCTTCGTTCACTAGACAGATATTGATCTTTCCATTTTTCCGTTCTACACAAAACCCTTTATGGATGAATCTCACGAAAGCACAAAATTATTGTTGGCACTTTTTTTTTAATGACAATTAAGAAAATGTCCCCCACAATTCTCTGTTATGTGAGAATATCTGCAGAGTGTTGTGCATCCAGTTTTTTTTTTAATACTTTTTTTGTTTGTATTATTTTATTTCAATACATAATGTAGTGCAGTGAGAATTGCCAGAATGTAATATTTTATATACTGTATACTAATATAATATAATATCATATAATTTTTTTTTTTTTTTTTTTTAGAGACAGCAGCAACAATTGTTCTTGGTCTCATTAGTCATATTTGGCTGAATCTTTCTTCTGAATTAGGGATGGTAAGATTCACAGATTCGCATCTGTGCTTCAGCATAAAAATTAACCATGCGATGCATTGGTTAAAAAAGCGTGCATCGTATACAAGTTGGCATTTGTATCGCGATGCATCGTTTCTAACATATTTGCATCTGTAAAAAAGATTTATTTAAATATCATTATTAGTAGATGTGCTATACTTTTATTATTTAGAGAGTGACCAATAATTTGTGACCAATATTTTATATAGATTGATTTCTCCTCTCTAAACTGTTTCTCAAGCGCGTTCTCTCATAGAAATCAAAGCAAACTCTCTGTACCATATTGAATTGCATAGCATCATGTTTTTTTCCATTGCATCATATTGCATTGAATCGCATTGTTGAATCAAATCGTAATGGGGTGAATCGTATCGCATTGCATCGGTAGCTGCTTCATATGTATCTTTAATGTATAGTATCGTTGGCTATGCATCAAGATGCGTGTCGCATCGGCCTCAGTTATGGAGATGCACATCTCTTTGTGTGCGTTGTGTCTAGTTTAAGCTTTCCTCCACAGACAGTTTTCCTTTAATTCTGTGATCTGTGTTCCTCTGTTCCTAAAATAGAGCCCTGGCTTCTTTCTCTCTGCTCTAAAAATGCGTGTTCACACCAGCCCCCTCTCATCCTTCCATCAGGTTGAGTCTGGTTTCTTCCATGAGAGCGATGCAAAGATAGTGGGCAAGTCTCTCCGTGACCGAGTGGCTCTGATTAAGTGGCGCAGGGAGAGGACGGTGCCGAGGGCCTCACAGGCCGTGCCGGGCGAGACGGGGCCCGTCCTCTGTGAACCGCCTGGTCTGCTGGAGCCTGAAGAGCCGGAGGTGGATCAGCATGTCCACGTGTGTCCGCTCGGTGCCAGGACCACCTCCACCACATGTAAGCCTGCGTGTTTGTGAAGGTTTGGGGTTAAATAGAGTTCTACCCAGGTTTAAAAAAGTATACTTCCATAATGTACTTAAAGTGTTCTAATCATTTAATATACTACAAATTATTCTTTAGTACTTCTTAAAGGGGTCATATGATGCAATTTCATTTTTTCCTTTCTCTTTGGAGTGTTACAAGCTCTTGGTGCATAAAGAAGATCTGTAAAGTTGCAACGACTAAAGTCTCAAATCCAAAGAGATATTCTTTATAAAAGTTAAGAGTCCTAAGTGTACTCAACTGTGCTATTTTGAGACACCATGAATATAAACTAAAATGTGCTTCTAACATACTATCTGTATTTTTTTTTTAAATTTTGTGCACAAGTGTGCTAGTGTATGAAAGATGGGTTCAAGTGTACTACAAGTGGTAAATAAATACATTTTTTAAATACAGAGATAGTATGTTAAAAGTGCATTTTAGTTCATATTCATGGTGTCCCAAAATGGCACAGTTGAGTACACTTAGTGGATCTTAAGTTTATCTTAAGAAGTACTAAAGAATCATTTTTAGTACATTAAGTAAAAAATTAGTGCGTCAAAATAGAGCACTTTAAATACATTATGGAAGTGTACTTTTGGAGCATCTTCCATGTGATGATGTTTACCAAAGAAAGTAAGACATGTTATAATTAAATGCTTAATAACAAATGCTGATCCTTTATTGACACTTAATTACAGAAGTACACTAATGCATTTTTTTCAAATATGAACTGTTATTAATAATAATTGAGCACCAATAATAATTGAGCAGCAAATCAGCATATTAGAATGATTTCTGAAGATCATGTGACACTGAAGACTGGAGTAATGATGCTGAAAATTCAGCTTTGATCACAGAAATAAATTACAGTTTATCAGATATTCACATAGAAAACAGCTGTTTTCAATTGTAATAATATTTCACTGTTTTTACTCTTTTTTTTTGGTCAAATAAGTGCCTTGGTTAGCAGAAGAGGCTTCTTTAAAAAAATCTTAACTATTCAAACCTACCTATGAAAAGGTTAAAAATATTCAAATATCAGACTGTTGTTAAAAATTAAACATGAATCAAAGACTCCCTTGCAAACTCAGTTTTTGTAACAATCTCCAGTCATTTTACTCATTTTGTTACCATGTAAACTAAGGGACGAGTGACACTGATTCTGTCATAATGGTCAGATGTTTTGGTTGTGTTATGTCAAGAATATTCCTAGCACGTGTTTGTCTTCTCTCTGTGTCTCTCTAGCTGACAGTGGCATCGGTTCGACTGTGTACTCGGACTCCCACAGTGGTCTGCACAGTGTCATATACCAGTCTTTACAGGAATCTGTCTCCACAGCAAACCAGCAGGTCCGTATCACTCCCCATCACTGTCACTGGTGCACGTCAGAAACCAGAGTGATATGTGAAGTTTGCATTCCCCTGTTAGTGTGTGAAGTTTGCTTGTACTTGCATAGCTTTTAAATGTAGACCATCATTTTATCACAGTGACACAATGTTTGCAGCTCTGTAACTGGACCGTGTTTTCACCTTGTCATCAACCACTTCATTTTTGCCTAGGGGTTTCATTATTTTCCTTATGTAGCATGCATGATAACACGGTCTGCGTTTCATTCCCTGTTGTCCGTTTGTCTGTTTTGTTAGTGGTGCTCACACTATTTGTGCTCCAGACATGAATAATTCCTCAAATCATGCAGCTTAGGGGTGGACGATATGACCAAAATATTCTATCACGATATAATAACTTCTATCAGTTATTTTTGCTTTAAATAAGGCCTTTATGATATTGGCATATTTGATACCATATAAATTTTACAATTCTTGTCACCAGTGTTAATATCACAAAAAACGAATATAAGCCTAAAAAAAAATAAGAAAAAACTCAAGCCCACTGAAGACAAGTAATCAGTCAGCAATTAAATAAGAATAAGAAACTAATTACAAGCAATAGGACAAAAAAACTACAGTAGAACAAATAAATAAGAAATGCTACATACATTATACATATTACATATTCTTCACTGTGTAAATTAAATAGGTATTTCTCCCGGTAGTCCATAACTTTTGGACCGGGTACACTCTGTCGATGGGCGGCCGACCGACCCTGGCCCGGCTTCGGGGTCCCTGACCCCCCCAGGAAGAACCTGACAGGAACCCGCCGAAGTTTTTGAGCCCCAAAAGCAGTTCAGCCTTTCCCCACAGGGTGGCGCACGGACGTCCCACCCCAGGATTACGACAGTGGCCTTCACCCATATGGGGGGTGGACACTTTTTCGTCCCACGAACCCACTATTTGTCCATTTGCCCATTGGAGCGCCGGAATGACCCCTGGACCCCCGCTGACCACTGCTGACCACTTCCATGCCCCCCGGGCCACGCCCCCCCCAGGTCCCACGAACCCACTATTTGTCCATTTGCCCACTATGTTGACGGAATGACCCCTGGACCCCCGCTGACCGCTGCTGACCACTGCCCCTCCCCCGGGCCACGCCCCCAGGTCCCATGAACCCACTATTTGTCCATTTGGCCATTATAGTGACGGAACGAACCCGGACCACCTGGGCCACGCACCCCAGGTCCTACGAACCCACTATTTGTCCATTTGGCCATTGTAATGACGGAACGACCCCGGACCCACGGGGACCCCTTGTCCACGCCCCCCCCCCACATCCCACGAACCCACTATTTGTCCATTTGCCATTTAATGAATGGGATAGCTATGGCAGGTTAGTGGGATGATTGTCCACTAACCACTTAAAGCGTTCCCATACAATCAATTGCAAGTGGGACATGTGTCCATTTGCCATTTAATGAATGGTATCACTATAATAGTTTAGTGGAATGAATGTACACTAACCACTTAAAGCATTCCCATTCAATAAATTGCAAATGGACACACATCCCAGTTGCAATTTATTGAATGGGATCGGTTTAAAAGGTTAGTGGACAATCATCCCACTAACCTATTATAGCGATCCCATTCAATAAATTGCGAATGGACACACATCCCACTCCCCATTTATTGAATGGGATCGGTTTAAAAGGTTAGTGGACAATCATCCCACTAACCTATTATAGCGATCCCATTCAATAAATTGGGAGTGGGATGTGTGTCCATTTGCAATTCATTGAATGGGATCATTTGAATAGGTTAGCGGGATGATTGTCCACTAACCTATTAAACAGATCCCATTCAATAAATTGGGAGTGGGATGTGTGTCCATTCGCAATTTATTGAATGGGATCGCTATAAAAGGTTAGTGGGATGATTGTCCACTAACCTATTAAACCGATCCCATTCAATAAATTGGGAGTGGGATGTGTGTCCATTTGCAATTTATTGAATGGGATCGCTATAATAGGCTAGGTTAGTGGGATGATTGTCCACTAACCTATTAATGTGTGTCCATTTGCAATTTATTGAATGGGATCGCTATAATAGGCTAGTGGGATGATTGTCCACCAACCTATTAAACCACTTACCAGTCTATTTTTACACTTTCTAGTCTGTCTCCACGGAGAAAACAGGTAAGCAGGTGAGCATCCCAGTTGCAGCTTATTCAATGGGCGTTCTGTATGGGGCCCGTGGACGCATGTATTCACACATTATATATTACCACTTAATATTACATTAATTAATGAAACACCTCGACCGAACTTTAACCATTTATTGAACAATTTAAAAAACATTTCTTACGGAACATATTTTAAAATGAAAGAAGAAACTCTTTACATTAACATTAAAAACGATTTACATTAGCAGTCATTAAAAAACGCCTATAAAAACACTTTTTATATTAAAACATTACTTTTTTCTGGAACTGGAACAACGTTTTAAACAAAAGAAAATTTAAAAATAAATTGGTGAAAACAAGTCCTCCACCGGATCCATTAGGCCCTCTCCAAATTCCTCTGTAAAACAGACCATCAGGTTAGTCTACCATCAGCTGCAACATTATAAGAAATTAGATTATAAACTGATTCTTACTCAGGAACTCTATCAATTCTGCATCCTCTGCAGGTGGGGCAGATGATGCCGTGGATGAGGCTGCAGCAGGTGGTGGGGACACCTCCGCTGGTGGGGACAACACCTCAAGAAGTGCGGCCCCCACCACCTGAGAGAGAGCATCCCCCACCTCCTGTGTTGGCGCAGCCCCCAGCCCAGATGGCGGGACCCGGACTTCTGGTGGTGCGGCCTCCACCAACTGGGGTGGGTAAGGCCCAATCCATATGGCCTGTTGGCCCCAGACCTGAGAGGGTGGGGCGCAGACCTGAAGAGCCACAGGGGTCTCCGGTGGTGCTGGCGGCGCCGATTCTGCTGGTGGGGGCCCTGGCCTTGTGTGGTCCACTGGAGGGCCTTTTGCGGGTGGGGCTTCTGCCCTGCTCCTCCTTCTCCTCATGAAGGCTCGTAGCCAGCGGGACCTTCGGGTCTGTAGCATGCAGTGCATCGATCTGCTTCATCGAAGCCCTCCACCTCATGGTGTGGAGGGCCTCCATGCGTTTGGCCTTCTGAAACAGAAAATGTTTGTTAACGCTTAAATTACGAATACATGTAAAGGTATTTCACATATTGTTAATTTAAAGCATAACTGGTCAAAACTTACCGAGAGGTCATTGTGAGAATTGGTCACATGCCGGTCACTGAACTTGAATGTATTGCCACATATTGGGCAGACCTCATTGCGTAGAAGCACTCTGGAACAGGCCAGTTTGATTAAAATTGCCCGTTCCTCCAGATTAAACACACAGTGTGTAATTCTTAGATGCTGGCGAATATTTGAATAATCCCTATGGCAAAGTGGGCAGTTCACCATCTTGAATGATCTGGAAAACACAGAAAGACATAAAACTGTATAATTTGCATAAGAAAACTGACTCTCCACAAAGATATTATGTACATAATATTGAAACATCCCATGTGCAATTTATTTGACGGTAGGTTCATAACAGCTTGATGGACATATGTAAATAAAGAAAGGTGTAATTTTTTACTGAAAACACCTCTACTGTGCTCAGGATAAGCAATGGAACCCAACAATGTAAGATATTGGGCAACATATTGTACAATTTACATAAAAATGAATTGTAACTGAAAACATCCCATGTGCAATTTATTTGACGGGAGGTTCATAACAGCTTGATGGACATATGTAAATAAAGTCAACAATTCAAAGAAAGGTGTCATTTTTTACTGAAAACACCTCTACTGTGCTCAGGATAAGCAATGGAACCCAAACATGTCAGATATTGGGCAACATATTGTACAATTTACATAAAAATGAATTGTAACGGAAAACATCCCATGAGCAATTTACTTGACGGGAGGTTCATAATAGCTTGATGGACAAATGTAAATAAAGTCAACAATTCAAAGAAAGGTGTCATTTTTTACTGAAATCACCTCTACTGTGCTCAGGATAAGCAATGGAACCCAAACATGTCAGATATTGGGCAACATATTGTACAATTTACATAAAAATGAATTGTAACGGAAAACATCCCATGAGCAATTTACTTGACGGGAGGTTCATAATAGCTTGATGGACAAATGTAAATAAAGTCAACAATTCAAAGAAAGGTGTCATTTTTTACTGAAATCACCTCTACTGTGCTCAGGATAAGCAATGGAACCCAAACATGTCAGATATTGGGCAACATATTGTACAATTTACATAAAAATGAATTGTAACGGAAAACATCCCATGAGCAATTTACTTGACGGGAGGTTCATAATAGCTTGATGGACAAATGTAAATAAAGTCAACAATTCAAAGAAAGGTGTCATTTTTTACTGAAACCACCTCTACTGTACTCACCACACTCAGCAGAATCCATTCATGTCCTTTTCGTGTCAAAATAGTGTAATATTTGCCTAAAAATGAATGTCCACGGAACCACTATGAAAGGCCTGCTAAATAAACTGTAAATGGGATGTTTCTTTATGTTTGATTTAAAATAACAGTCATATTGGGGCCAGGGCCTAGGGGCTTCGAATGCTTGACCGTGGGACCCTCAAGTACCCCGTGGAAAAGGGCCAAAGCTCTCAGCGTTTGGGAAGACCTTTAAAAAAATCAGCAAAACTATTCAAGGAAAAATACAGACATGTGCTGGCCCCTTTTCTGACTTTTTGACCCCTAAAGGAGGTCGTAGGGT